TCTAAGTTTGGACTATTCCTAATTTTAGTTTTAAATGCGATTTTATTAACTATCGCCTTAGTGTCATTATCAAGTTGGTTCCATGCTATAGGACCTCTGTACCGTAAAGATGTCCTTCCTTTTTCGGTTTTACACCTAATCAGATTAAAATTCTGTTTTCGTCTTCCTATTCTCACAGTTTGTGTGAATAGGTTTTGCAAATCCTGTGGAACATTCATATAATATACAACATGCATTAAAGTCAAGATACGCTTTTTATATATATCACCTATAGGTTTCCAATCTACTTTTTCTAGTATTTGTTCATTCGTTAAATTATCTTGCCGAATGTTATATATCATCTTTGCCGCTCTTACGTGATGGTTCTCTAAATCATCCATTAACGAAGGTGAACATGTTCCCCAAACTAGTATGCCGTATGTCACGTTTGGTATGATTGCTTTGTGATAAATTTCCTCCAGTACATATCTCGGTAGATACTTCATTCTTTTTAATTGGGACAGTTTTGCGCTGAATGATTTTATTACCTTTTTATGTTGCTCCTTCCACGTCAGGTCTTTGCTACTTCAATATATATTGCTTTTTCTCAGTTCCATTCACGGCTCACTACAGTCGCTGCGAGTAATCACTGTGCTTGATATAAATTCAATTCCTAAATAACAATGAAACGTTCTATGTATAGAAACAATGATATCAATGAATATTTACAAGAAAACGCCAAGAGAAAATTGGTTAAATTTATATATAGCTATATTATATATAGTTGTTTTACCTCAAAAGGTTGCCACAACAGCCTGTTCATTCAAGACTCAAGAGGACTGATCAGGTGGCTCCAGCACTAGTGATGAAATAGGCTGTTGTGGCAACCTTTTGAGATAAAACAACTATATAATTTATATATAATACAGCTATATATATATAAAATTTAATCAATTTTCTCTCGGCGTTTTCTGGTAAATATTCATTGATATCATTGTTTCGATACATAGAAAGTTCCATTGTTATTTAGGAATTGAATTCAAAAATTAAATTATTAAAACTACAGTATTTAACGATGCTGTAAAGTCCCTTCTGCTCATAACAAAGGGGGAACCGCAGATATAAACATTGCCCAAATTTGCATCTTTCGAACTTTTTTGAATTGAAACGTACTCTACTTCTCTAGTTTATATTCATTTACAATAGCGAACCAGAAAAATGTTAGATATTCATGCAGTTACAGTATATCAAATTTTACAAATATAGCAGTTCAAAATGTAAACAATGCGTTTGTTTTATTACGGACTTTACAGCATCTTTAAATATTTACATAAATTTACATATTACTGACTATTTTTATTTTTTTTTTATTTTAACAGCTTTATTGAACGATGTTCAAACGGCAAGAGTGCGAACGGGACTCGAGACCCATGCGAGGCACTCTCCCTCTTGAATTTAGTTTATATCTAATATCATTATTTACGACAATATTATAAATTGGTAAACATATACCAGCTGATTAAAATCAAATTAGGACGGCTATTGCACCACATTCAAGTTATCATGCATATAATACAGATTTGTATAATCATGTTAAAAATTTGAAAGCTGAATTAAATCAGGATAAAACAAAACCTGACACGAAGAGCTGGTATATGTTTACATCAGAATTAACTATTTCTGTGGCATGAACAGCTACGATACAAAGACCACGTACAGCACATGTCAACATCAAAACTACTACTTAATAAATTGAAGTATGTTCTTGATAAGAAGGATTTAAACCTTGCCAAACTGCGAAGATCTCCAGGAGAAGCAATTTTGCAAGTATGATTCCAGAGTGGAACAATACGGTTAAAGAACGATGACTGGAAAGTGCTACTTTTACATGACGGAACTTTAAGCACTAGAGAAGGATTATTACAATTACGGGTACGACTATGATTAACAAATGACACAAAATCGAAAACATCCAAATCATAAAAACCATGCAAAGTTTTAAACATAAATGTCAAATCCTTAATTTCCCTGTCGAACGCCAGTGGTAAAAGATTCAGAGCAAGCAATCTGTCCTTGTAGGTCATGTCACCTTTCTTCGATTGAAGGATCCATCTTGTTGCACGCCTTTGGACTTGCTCCAGATTTAATTTGTTATTATATTGGGAGGGAGACCAAACCTCTGTGGCATAGCATAATTGTGACTTGACGAGCGAAAGATACAGAGTGCGCCGGATACTGCGGTCTGTTAGCAAGGGGCATGTTCTTCTAAGCAAACCCAGCAACCTGTTCGCCTTGACTTTTATATTATTGATATGGGTAGTCCATGAAAGGTTACTGGTCACTGTGATTCCCAGATCAACTTCATCATTCACACGCTTCAATTCGGATGATCCCAGATAATATTCGAAAAGAAAAGGTATTTTACGGCGGGAGAATGTCAATATTTTACATTTTAAGGGATTAAAGTTGATGTTGTTATCCTTACTCCAAACATCCGCACACGACAAAGCTTCTTGTAACTGTGAACAATCCTCTGGAGTTGAGATTTCTCTATATAATTTGGTATCATCAGCATACAGTCCTGTTGATGTAGATTCAGGAATGACATCAGGAAGATCGTTGATGAAGAGTAAGAAAAGCATTGGACCCAAGATGCTGCCCTGTGGAACTCCAGAAGTGACGGGGGACCATGACGAAGCAGCACCCTCTACAACAACACGCTGGGTACGGTTATGCAGGTAGTCAGAGAACCATCTGTAAAGGTTTCCTGCGATACCGTAATCTTTCAGCTTTCTTAAGAGAATAACATGATCCACTGAGTCGAAGGCTTTAGCGAAGTCAAGAAATAGAATGTCTGTCTGGGTATTTTTGTCAAACAATTGTCCAATACGGTGTAACGTTGAAAGAAGCTGTGTAGTACAAGAACGGCCATGAAGAAATCCATGCTGAGCTTCGTTAATTGAATCTCGGATATGTTCGTAGAAACGATTACAAACGCATCGCTCCAAGACTTTGCTGATGATTGATAGCAGTGAAATTGGACGGTAGTTGATAGCTAGTTCTTTCTTATCTTTCTTATGAATTGGTGAAACATCAGCTGATTTCCATTCAGATGGAACAGTACCAGTATGTAATGAACGATTAAAGAGTGAGCAAAGACTTGGGGCAATGACATAACTGCATTCCCTCAATACCCGAGCAGGAATACCATCGGGGCCTGATGCCTTAGTTGGATCCAAGTGTGCAAGATGATGGGCAACTTCTTCCGAGACAGTTATATCAGACAATTGTTCCACAGGCGACAGTAAGAGAGGTGAATCATCAGTGATAGGTAAAGCTTTAAGTGGTCGAAAAACGGAGCAAAAGTATGAATTAAAAAGTTCTGCTTTTTGTTTTGGGGTCATCGCTGTCTCATTGTTGTGTAATATGACAGGATTCAATGCTGAACGGTGGTGGAGTGCCGCTTTATGGTAATTCCAAAACAATTTCGGATTTTCTTTAAATGAAATTTCAATTTTGTCCAAATACTTTTATGTTTCTTTCGAATAACATTCTTGACTTGCTGACAAAATGTCCGGAGTTTAACCTTACGTTCAGGCGTTTTCTTCAAGCGATATTTACGTAAGGCGGTGTACTTTTTTCGGATTAGATGGCGAACTTCTCCATCGATCCAGGGAGGAGAGTTGGTATCCTTAACAACTTTGGTCGGAACATAACTTGACACAACTGATAAAAATAAGTCCTTCCAATGCTTCCAGCAATCATCAATGTTGTCCGAAAGAGATACACGAAGATCTGTTTGAGACAAGGCTTTACAAAGTTCGGGAAAGTTAGCTCGGTTGTAATCATAAACTGTTCGCCGCACAGGTTTTGCTTTACTGAACTTTGTGCGAATAAGGAATTCAATGGTATAGTGATCAGTCGGAAAGTTATGTTCATCACAGGAGAGAGTTAGTACGTCGGACAGGGTTTCGGTACGATTACAAAACAGCAAATCAAGCTTATTTCCAGCATGGTGGGTTGGGCCATCTACAAACTGATACAGAAAATTATCGTCGATAAGTTCACAAAGGTTTTCACCATTGGAGCAGCCACCAGTGCTAATAGGAGTTGATGGGCTGTCTGACCAGGAGATAGAAGGAATATTAAAGTCACCAACTAGGATTAGGCAACATGACTCCGGGTTACTTGCTATGGAGTTGTTTAGAAGACTGAGACCGGCATCAGGAGAGGAGTTGGGAGGACGGTAATACACATAAAGAATTACTGGTTCATTGTTCGCTTTACTGAGTTGAACTACAGCAAGTTCAGTGCCATCTCTTTCGAGGTCACAACGCCGAGTAGCATGTAAGTTTTCTTTAATCGCGATTAGAACTCCACCGCCAATTCTCCCCGTCCTGTCGCGACGAAAAATATTGAAACCTGGGAGTAGTTCTGTATCAAGGATAGTATTATTTAACCAAGTTTCATAAATACAGACCACATCATATTCGCCACCGTGAACCAACTCCTGCAGTAAGGTTATTTTGCAAACTTTATTTGAAGTGTCATTGTCAGCAGGGACGAAAGACTTCAAACTTCGGGCATTTAAGTAAAGGACTTTAAGGTCGTTAGGATTAGTTTTACACGGCTTAGCAGGAATGGGATTGGAAGGACCTGGATTTAGTTGCACGTCATTTGCCAAGAGGACCAACATTAGTGGTAAAGACGATCTTTGTAGTAAACCAGATGCATTTCGAACAGTTCGAAGAATAGATAGTGACGTCGAATCTTTTCTCATACGACGGGCTTGAGAAAAACAAGGAGAAGTTAGAAGGTTTGTAGACGAGTAAAATAATGTCTTACGATCTTCATTTGTGAGTCGAACCACGCGGAAAATCAACCAAGCAAAAAGGACTATATAGACTGTTTTGAGAAAGATCATATTTTAAATGTTATAAAACGATGTAAATATTAATCAAGGGTAAACCCCGCACATATTGTACATGTTGGAAAGCGATAATCAAGCAATGATAATATTAATCTCAAATTACGATTGAATGTAATGTCAAAGTTCAAACAGATATGTTGCCATGACGAACGACGCTAGATGCGCGAATAATTCAAAAAAATTCCAACGGTCAAAATCATATAAAACGCGTATTATTCAAATTGTATTTATCACAAAAACACCAACATAGATAAGATAACAGGAACAAAGTACGTTGTACAGTACAGAAAATGTTAGACGAATCCAATGAACAGTGATGACCAATTAGCAAAAAAAAATAATAAATCCACAGACTACAATCAGTAATGACGAATCAGTAAATGCAATACGACAGACAACCACGTCCACGGTAATAAAATTCCAAATAAATGCGTAAATTCACTAGGACCCACTAGCGAATTCCTCAAAATATATGCCAACAGAGTCACTGATGGTAGCTATATACTTGATTTGATACTAACAAGAGCTTTATACTTGATTTTTATACTAAGTGCAATACGACAGACAACCACGTCCATGGTAATAAAATTCCAAATAAATGCGTAAAATTCACTAGCGAATACCTCAAAGTATATACCAGCAGAGTCACAAAAGCTTTATACTTGATTTGATACCGAATTAGTATCGTTTCCAAAGGAAATGAAGAAGAAAATTTTATATAATTTACGGACACGCTACCTCACAACCTCACGCTAACCGGTCTGTATATAGGTATCGAAAGATCTTGACAAGAATTTCAGATAATCTTGGCAAGATTTTGGCAAATATGGCAAGATTGAATAATCTTGGCAAGATATTCAGTTCAGGGGCGTAGGAAGCATCAAAAAGTTGGGGGGCCCCGGTTTCAAGGGGCACTTTTAGAATGGAAAAGGGCCGGCACCTAAAACTTTTTTCCCGTAAATGTTGGCGATGGGGGAGGGGGGAGGGTGGCAAGGCCGCAGCTATAGCATGTAT